TTTGGCTTAAAATGACATTTTCCAAGATATTATTAAATTATCTTCGCATTAATAAACTTAAGTAGTACTTAGACATTTTAAGCTAAGACATATTCAGATCAGGAAGAACAATCAAATTATGTTTAAAGTAATGCATATCCATGGAAAACATTGCATGAATATGTTTAATATACATTATAACCAGGAGACGCCATTTAAAGTCAGAAAAATACAAGTAATGATAAATCTATTCATAAGTTTATTTCACTTTTGAACCTACTCCCGTAAGATAGATTTTTAGATATTAAAAAAGAATCTCAAACCCAGGAATCTGGCCATGATTTTTATTGAGATTACATATTGGTGATTGTGAAAGGTGGACAGACTTGCACCTTCTTGACTCATTTAATTTTTTTTTGCCTTACAAGCAGACTATTAATAGTGTCTTAATCAGACATGATTCATTAATTGGCTGAATTATCCCACTTAAAGCACGTAATCATGGGTGCACAGGTAAAAACATTTTTTTAAATTTTATTTTAAAATAAACTTAGAAAAACAGGCCTCATCAATTTCCAGCTCTCAGAAAACGTAAACTTTTAGAGTAGAAATGACTTAATTATTTTAAATGAATAATCATCTATGTTTTATACTCTGTAATGAAAAGGACCAAGGAAATGGATAGTATTTTCTTTTTCTTTCCTCTTTATTTACAAAAGAGAATTGAGTTGATACCCTGGAAATCATCTTGGAGTACAGGGCCTATATTGTGACCACAATTTTGTAAACCTTTTTTTTTTTAAACTGAAGAAATGCAACTCTAACCTTAGCAGTAACAATTTAATCAGCTAAAAAGCGTCCAATCCTCTGGTTTAGTACGTATGAAGCAGTATGGGATATAGTTTCTGTCCTTACATTTTCTTTGGGGAGACAAAACTAATTTACATGACAGAAGTAAAGAATATTTAAGTGCTAAATTAAATGACGCAGAATTAATTACAGTGCTGTGGGACTCCCATATATTTAATAAGGGGGTAGCTCCTTGGAGGTCGGGGAATGTTTTAGAGAAGTATCATCTATCTATTTGATAGCTGTGTCATGCACTTCCTTTCCCCAGACTTCTGAAAATATTTAACTTAGAGAGCCTCACGTTCAAAAGATGGAAGGAAACCTAAGTGACAGTATTCCTTCAACTCTGAAACAAGAAGATATTATAAGTTGAAAACATTATTTATTATTTTGGATTGTTTTGCAGCTATTTTCTCAGTTGAACTTCCTCTTGAAAGGCTATTTAAATGCCTGATGTACCCAGCGAGGAAAGAGAACAGCTTCTGTTACAGATGCTGTCTGACAATACTGCCGTCCTTTAACACGGTTTTATTTAGTTATTACAACTATCTCTCTGTAAATGACATTTAGGATTATTTAAGATTATGTTGTAATCCTTTTAATCCTTAGTGCTTTAAATTTCAGGCTCAACACCAAGGAGCAAACTAGCACTTAGCAGGAATGTTTAAAACATGTGATTTGAGCATAAATCTTTTCATTCACTCTTTCCCTGATGAAGACCTAGTGGTGCTCTTAAGTTAACTAAGAAAACTCGTATCACAGTTCATTACAAATCACTCGGTCTCTAAATGTTTTCCCAAGCTACATCAAACTTGTTATGATCCTTGACAATTATGCTAAATGCAGAATTAAACAAAAGTTAGCAGCAATGAACATTTGCTTATTTAACTAGAATTTGTGTGACCTTTAATCAGTACAAAGTGGCTTTTTGTGTTTGTGTGGGTGTATGTGTGCTGAAATCTTCACTCTACTTTCTAAGGCGAAGCTATTAGATGTGTGTATACACACACACATTACATATGGATCGTATATACCTTTAACATGTACTAGGATTATTTATATATACTTCATTGTAGAAGTTGTTAACAATTTTTAATGAATATATTATTTTTATTAAACAGTACCAACTGGGCCGAATAATGTTCTGTTATAAAATAGGCAGAATATTCTTGAACTCAGGCAGTGAGCCACATTCTGATTTACTAAGAACGATTGAATACCAAACCTGTTGTCTCTGTTTCACTACTGCATACCGATACAAACAAGATTGAATCCACATCAAAAGTTTGATAGGACTTTGACTATGAAGGAAATATGGCTTTTAATACAAAGAGAAAATGAACACACAAATGAAACCAATTGTTGTGTGTGTCACAAATGTGCACTCTGACTGAGTCTTTCAGGCTATCTCAGACAATCAATTTTTTGTTTGTTTTCCCGTTCATTTTAAGTTTGACTTCTCCACAGACATTGTAATTATGTGGCATATAGTCACTAATCCATCAACTTTTTAAAGACAGATTTCAAATTCTAAATTATTTCTAATTTTGCTCTTCTTTGATTTTTCTTGAACCAAAAATCTCAATAGTCATTTGCTATCTGTAATCTGTAATTCATAGACTGAGATGGAACACCAAGCCTAATTCAAACTTGGAATTCTAAAGCTATTTCTGATATAGTACATGAGCTGAAGCTATGATGGTCTTTTTCAGTCAGGAAGAAACACGTCATTATTCTGTAGGTAATGAAACCCTTGCACACACACACTCAAACACCCAACAATGCCTTAATACCATGTTTTTGAGATATAATCATGTTTATTCTGATCATTTGAGAGTCAGACCAGCTAATGTATCTAATCAAATATTGATCCAAGTCACCTAAATTTAGCTCTCTGGCAAATCCTTCCCTATGCTTTTTCTTTAACAGAATTATAAAAGCTATTTATATTGTTTCTCTCAAAAGGCTTACTCTCATTGTCTTTATCTATGGGTACGTGTTAGTAAATTTTACTTAAGATCTTGTGTTTATGCGATGAAAAGATTTTACATGACGAGAAAACCAAGTGGTTAACCCCCAAAGGAATGAATCAGGAAATTAAACTTGAATCATATGGCTTTGTTATTCACAACATCCTTATAATCACCTCTTGTTCATCTAAACTAATGGGTACAATACAAACGATAGGCTACGTGTAAGAACACTGACACCCCATAAACTGCTCGGTTGCATGACAAACAAACTAGCTGGCAAGATTTTCACCTCCAAAATGCCACCACAAGTTGGAAAATTATAACAGGAGGTGGTCAGTCATATTTAGAAAAGTCTCGGTGATACATACCACTGATATTGGTGGTTTAAATATACCTCTATGTATATTACGCTCATCTGTTGTTATTTTTAGTTGCCCTCGAGTCAATTCTGACTCATGGCTCCCCCATGTGTTACAGACTAGAACTGCTCCATAGGATTTTCTTGGCTGAAATCATTAACAGAAACAGATCTCCAGGCCTTTTCTTCCACAGTACTGATTGGTAGGTTTGAACCGCCAACCTTTAGGTTAGCAGCTGAGTGCAAACCATTTGCGCTGCCTAAACGATAAAATCCATTTCCGTCGAATCAATTCCAATTCATAGCGACCCTACAGGGCAGAGCAGAAATGCCCTATACAGTTTCCAAGGCTGTAACTCTTTACTGAAGCAGACTGCCACATCTTTCTCCAGCAGAGCGGCTGGCTGGTGGGTTCCAACTGCTAACCTTTTATTTAGCAGCTGAATGCTTAACCACTGCACCACCAGGGCTTCTTGCGCTGCCTAGGGACCTCATTATCCTCACAGTTATGTAAAATTATACATACATATTTTTCTTTAATATTTGCAGCCCTATATACTTCATACATAGTTGACTACTATACTAGTTCGCAGATTAATTTAACTCCTCATAAGGTTCATAGAAGGAACCGAAAAATGTTGGCTTAGCCCATCTCCAAGAGTTTCTATTGTTCAAGAATTATGTCTATGTCAAATTTTAATAAATGCCTTTTTTTTTTTAAACTACTTTGGTGATTAGGTTGTTAAAGTCACAATGCATAATAAGGCTAAACCACTTAGCTCATCTAATCCAGTTCAGATCTAGTCATCTTGATTGCCTAAATTGTCATAGAAGCTAGGATTATAACTTCTACATTTTGTTATCTATGGCAGGATAACCATCCATCCTTTCTTTTTTCCTTGTCTCCTTTTGCCCCTCTCTCCCTGGTTTTCTCCATCCCTTCTTTGTTTTTTTCATTCTTTACTTGATTTTTTGTTAAAAAAACACACACACAACTCTCTATCATATAAAAAATGGAAACTTAAATAGAACAAAACTACAATCAAGTAAATAAATTATTCCAGAAAATGTTAAAAGTGTTGTTGTTGTTTTAATTCTAACAGATCCACAGTAGTTGAATACCTGTATTAGCATCTGTAGAATGTAGACCAAACTGAAAACTAGTTGTTTGTTTCTTTCCCAGCATGAGTGTAGATAGGAAATATCACCCACCTACGCTTCTAAAGGATCCCTGGTCGCACAGTGGTTAAGAGCTTGGCTGCTAACCAAAAGGTCAGCAGTTCAGATCCACCAGCCACTCCTTGGAGACCCTATGGGGCAGTTCTGCCATTTCTTACAGTGTCAATATGCGTCAGTATTGACTCAACAGCATCGGCTTTTTGTGTTCAGAATTAATCAACACAACAACACATATTTTGTATTTACTGTATTTTTATGCAAATAAGCCACACCTTCTATGTTTGTTTGCTAACCGTGCCCTCCCCCCAGCAATGTATTTTTGTAAGTGCACTATGCTAATTTTTTTACAGCAACATGTAAAAAAAATTGGCATAGTGGTCCTTATGAAAACACCTTGTGGGGTGAAGGCAAGGTTGGCAAACAAATGCAGACAGTGTGCGTTATTTGCATGAAGATACAGTCGATAGCAACTAATCACCAGGGAAAACAACAAAATAAACCAAAAATTCAACAGGAGAGAGAAGTCAGTCTTGCATAATGACATTCAGACAACTAGTTCATACATATGAAAACATCGCAACAAGGTAGTCTTATTTTGATTACCCAAGAGAGTTCAGATTTAGAGAGAGCAGGAATAAATTGAATATATGTAATATTCTTACCTGAAAGACATTCTTTCTGCTTGATTTTTCTTTGGCCCATTCAATATGTGCTCCACACAAATCCACACTTTCTGGTTTGTTTCCAGTTTTCTGTAAACAAAAATGAAATAAGAATAAACAGTACAACATTAGAGTTGCATGTCAGAGAAAGTGCGAGCTTATTGAGATTGCAACTAAACATATTTATGATATAAAAACTTGTCATAGTTTTCAGTAAAAATCCAGTTTGTAGAAATTTCCATTTGCAAATTTATGTTTTTAATTATCTGTAATAAGAAGATGATGTTTAAACTTATTTCATTAACTGCAGATAATAAGAAAAATTAATATTAAAATGCTGATGTTTTGAATGATGTTTATTTAGTAATGCTAAAGAAGTAAAAATTTTAAAATCTGCTATTCGATAATAAATATTGCTATTCAATGGTTAATATAAGATAAAGGAATTTTCATTCATATATTTAAAAGTCTAAAAGTAAAAGAAAAAAATTAATAAATCATGATGTGATAGAAGAAAATGTTAGAGTTTAGTTTTGTGACTTAGGAAAGTTATTTAGAATCTGGCTACATCATCTAGAAAACTGAGCAGGTGGATTAATTGATCTCAAAGTCCCCTTGCAGGTTTGTGTTTCATATATTAACAAATTCAATAAATATTTATTAAGTGCCAACTCTGTGCCTTTTAGCAGTTTACTTCTCAGACCTTTAAGGCCATACATGCGTGTATATGTATAGTTTTATTGAATACATTCAATTTAGACCAAATAGATTATAGTGTTTTCTTCCTTTTACACAATTACCACATGGGTGTTATTTAAAAGTTTTTATTTCAGTAATTCATAATAATCAAGTTACAGGATTCTCATTTACATTTGCTTGTTTACATTTGCATTTGTTTCAAGTGAGTCACACTTACTAACTTTGAATTCTCATAACTGCAAATATTAAACAAAAGTTTATCAGTTTTGGAAATTTCTTTACTATTTTTCAAGATGGTGATACCACCTTTCAAAGACTCTTTCCAACTATTTTCATATGGTCTGAACCACTTCAGGTTTCTCTATAGATAAATTCTTTCAGTATTTTTCTTAAACCATTTTCTGTAGAATGCTTTCAAATATTATTATAGAGACCTTGTGATATTTTGCGTCGATGTTTTTAACAGTATAGACTTCAGGTTAAAACATGAAATTCTTAAAGAATGGTACAAATGTCAAAAGAAATGGTCTGTCCACAATTGCTGCCTCATAGCCACTATGCCAATTCTATCAGCTTAATATAGACTAATTTTCAGAAAAAGCCAGAAATCTGGAGTTTTTATAGTAAATTGTGAGATTTTTAATTTTGGGCACCTCACGGAATTTTTTTCCTGGAAATATTGTACAAGCCAAACATATCTTGCCTGCAGAATAAATTACGCTGGGAGGATAGCAGTTAACTCAAAGGGCATACCCTTGCTTTGTTATTTACCAATAACCTCATTCAAAACTGATCAAGATGAGCCATTGTCCTTAAAGATATTTTGATCAGAGAAAAAGTGTTATTGGTTCCCCTATACTCTGCCACCCAATTGATCCCTATTATGGAAGATTTCAACATCAATGTCAAGTGATTTGTGATACTGAAAATTTAAAAAAACAACTTGCTTTGTCCATAGTTAAATTATACTTAACTACTCAGAACCTACATAAATGCTCAGAACCTACATAAATAATCCTTAGGTTTATGTAACAAAAGGGATTATTTCCCCATTTATTGTGGTCGGGGAAAAAGGCAGAATTACTTTCTATAAGAAACAGTTTTTGTGTGCCAAGCACTTTCTGTAAATGCTTTACAGCTATTAACTCATTTAATTCTCAAAACAATCGTACGAGGTAAGAGTCTCAGCACTATGTTACAGGTAAGAAAATAAGCCAGAATGTTAGGTAAACTTTCCCAAGGTAACACAGGTAGAACAGGAGGAGCCAGGATTTAAACACAAGAATGTGACCCCGAGTCTTATACTAAACCACTATGAAGTCTTTGAAAATTGAATAAACACTACGATCATACTCTTGTTAAAATATGTGAGGATTTGGGAAAAGATAATGGCTTTCTTGGTCTTGTTTCTGTCCTTCCTTGTTAAACTTGATCTTGCCTTTGGGTCTTTACACCACCTGCAACCTGGAATACCTCCCAATCTTTGCATGACTGGCTCCTTCTTATCAGTCAGGCCCCAGCTAAATGTCACCTTGTCAGAGGTCTTCTTTGACCATTTGTATAAAAGAGCTACGCTCCAGCACTACTAGTTACCCTGTATCTCATTACCTATTTTAATTTCATCATGGCCTGCTTCCTAACTGAAATGATCGTACATGTTTTTATATGCTGACTGTCTGCTTTTCTCTGAATTAACAATTTCCCTAGAATTAAGCTCCCTAACTGGGGATCTTGTCTGTTGTTTCCACCAATGTGTTTCATGGAATGCCACGTAGCACAGTTGCTGTTCAATGAATATTAGCTCAATTCAAGCACGAAGAAAAACTAAACAAAATGAGGTTAAACTTTGTGCTTTAGAAAAAAAGTTTGCATGTCTTAAAACTCTCTTTAGTGTTAGAATATTACTCTTACAACAATAAGATTTCTGTTGTGGTTGTGATTTAGAAAAATGATAAACAGTTTAGTGGACTGATTCAAGGGATTGAATATGGGATTTCACCGAACATTTGATAAATATTTATCACACACTTACTATGTGCTAGCCATTGGACTAGGCACTGCGATCCCAGAGGTAAGGAAGATACCAATTCTTCCTTTAAGAATCCCATATTAGCCTTAGATTATCTATAAACTCTATTAATTATACAGAACTAGAGAAGATCTATAGATAAAAAGCACTATAAGCTTTCACAGGATTCTCACCATCTAGCTATGTCAATCTCTAACAGTTCTCGTCCGTGTCATATCCTACATGCCATGTCTCTTTCTCATGTCCATAAGGACTTTGGCACCTCGCTTGGGTTTATCTCGGTCTGAACTTTGTCATCACTCTCAGTCCCTTCAGGAGGCTCACTCCTGTGAACTCCTTCTCAGTGACCCTGCCGCATCTCCTGCACTCCTCATGATCTCACTGCTCGCCTCCTCTGTCCACTTGAGCATCCCCATTCCACTGCTCATCTCACAAATCTCACTTTCTGACATAACTTGTAAGTTTTCATTACTCTCACCCTGTTGTTTTATATATATATATATATTTGTACTTTAAGTGAAAGTTTACAGTTCAAGTTAGTTTCTCATACAAAAATTTATACACACATTGTTATGTGACCCTAGTTGCTCTCCCTATACTGTGACAGCACACTCCTCCTTTCCACCCCAGATTTCCCGTGTCCATTCAACCAGCTCCTGACCCTCTCTGGCTTCTTATCTCGCCTCCGGCCAGGAGCTGCCCATTTAGTGTCATGCGTCTACTTGATCTAAGAAGCACTCTCTTCACGAGTATCATTTTATGCCTTATAGTCCAGTCTAATCTATGTCTGAAGAGTTAGCTTCAGGAATTGTTTCAGTTCTGGGCTAACAGAGAGTCCAGGGGCCATGTCTTCAGGGGTCCCTCCAGTCTCGGTCAAACCATTAAGTCTGGTCTTTTTACTGGAATTTGAGCTCTGCACCCCACTTTTCTCCTGCTTCATCAGGGACTCTCTGTTGTATTCCCTATCAGGGCAGTCATTGGTGGTAGCCAGGTACCATCTAGTTCTTCTGATCTCAGGCTGATGCAGTCTCTAGTTTATGTGGTCTTTTGTGTCTCTTGGGCTAATATTTTTCTTGTGTCTTTGGTGTTCTTCATTTTCCTTTGCTCCAGGTGGGTTGGGACCAATTGATGCATCTTAGATGGCTGCTCGCTAGCTTTTAAGAACCTAGACGCCACTTACAAAATGGGATGCAGAACATTTACTTAAAAAACTTTGTTATGCCAATTGACCTAGATGTCCCCAGAACCCCATGGTCCCCAGACCCCCACCCCTACTACTCTATCCCTCGAAGTGTTTGGTTGTGTTCAGGAAACTTCTTAGCTTTTTGTTTAGTCCATTCGTGCTGACTTCCCCTGTATTGTGTGTTGTCTTTCCCTTCACCTAAGATAATTCTTATCTACTATCTAGTTACTGAATACCCCCTAGCTCCCTCCCCAGCCTCGTAACCAACAAAGGAAGTTTTCTTCTGCGTTTAATGCTTTTCTTGAGTTCTTATAATAGTAATCTCATACAATATTTGTCCTTTTGTGGCTGACTAATTTCACTCAGCATAATGCCTTCAAGATTCATCCATGTTATGAGATATTTTGCAGATTCATCATTGTTCTTTATTGTTGTGTAGTATTCCATTGTGTGAATATATCATAATTCGTTTATCCATTCGTCCGTTGATGGGCACATAGGTTGTTTCCATCTTTTTGCTGTTGTGAACAGTGCTGCAGTGAACATGGGTGTGCATATATCTATTTGTGTGACAGCTCTTATTTCTCTAGGATATATTGCAAGGAGTGGGATTGCTGGATCGTATGGTACTTCTATTTCTAGCTTTTTAAGGAAGCGCCAAATCGATTTCCAAAGTGGTTGTACCATTTTATATTCCTACCAGCAGTGTATAAGTGTTCCAGTATCTCCACAACCTCTCCAACATTTATTATTTTGTGTTTTTTGGATTAATACTAGCCTTGGTGGGGTGAGACGGTATCTCATTGTAGTTTTGATTTGCATTTCTCTAATCGCTAATGATTGTGAGCATTTCCTCATGTATCTGTTAGCCATCTGAATGTCTTTTTGTTGAAATGCCTGTTTATATCCTTTGCCCATTTTTTAACTGGGTTATCTTTTGTTGTTGAGATTTTGCAGTATCTTGTAGATTTTAGAGATTAGACACTGATCAGATTTGTTGTAGCCAAATTTTTTTCCAGTCTGTAGGTTGTCTTTTGACTCTTTTGGTGAAGTCTTTTTATAAGCGTAAGTGTTTCATTTTTAGGAGCTCCCAGTTATCTAGTTTGTCTTCTGGTGTTTGTTCATTGTTACTTATGGTTCGTATTCTGTTTATGCCATGTATTAAGGCTCCTAGCATTG